AGCCATTGATGGATTTTGTGCTACAAATCTTTTCACTTTTTGTAACAATCGTGTAAGCATATATTCATAATTATCAAATTCGTTATTAGATAATTGTTGTAATTGTTGCAAATTTGAATTTGGAATATTCGAAGAACCAGTAGTAGAAGTTGTAAAAGTAATATAATTTTTAATAAGTTTTTCTTCGCTAGGATCTTTTCTCCAACGTTCGTAAAAAATACTAAGTGGTAATTCTGTTAAATTAAGTTGTGTTGCAGTTCTAAAAATATGCCTACAAATAAAACCTGAAAATTGAGTATATTTGCACGAACATGTAAAATAATTAGAATAAGATTCATATTTCACAATTCGTCCATTTGTTTCTCATTCATGCCTTTGTACAATGAAAATTTTTTCAATTGATTGACTATAAATATAAATTTTAATTAATAACTTTAAATAAATAGTTATTAGTCAAAAAATTTTAAATAAATATTTATTTATTTATATTATAAAATAAATATTTTTTATTTATATTATAAAATATTCATACCTCGAAATCTCTTCACATTTATAATTAGATGATTGCAATAATTGTTCTTGGGTTTTTTTATAAGAATAAGAAGTTAAAATTGATGCACACTGAAATTCATGAGGATTGGTAGTCTTATATAAAATATTATAATTATTTTGGCGATATATAGTAAATTCAGTTTTTTCTTTTTGAACTTCTAAAGCTGATTGAAAAGCATTAAGAAATGTTATAAGAGATGTACTAGCATCCAAATAACCTTTGAGCATATTATTCATAGATTCTCCACGTTGTGTTGTATTCATGTCTGCCATAAATGTATCAAGATTATAACATGCAGCCCATTTTTCTTTTGTTGTTTCCATACGTAATAAATAACTTGATGCAGGTGGATAAAGTGCTTTTAATATTTCCCATTGTGTAAGAAAATCAGAAATATCTAATTCTCCAAGACACTTATAAAAATCTTTAACAAATGCTGACCATTTGGAATTAAGTTTTGCACTTAAATTTTTCATAATATTTTTCATTAAATACTATTGGCATAGACGATGTTTTGTACCCAATGGTTTCAAAATTTTTGTGTAAGCATTTGCCATTGCACGATCGTCATCAGTAAGTATAACTAATGGAGCATTTTGATTAACCATTTTTAAAAAATTATTAAAAACCCAAATAAAATTTTCTTCTGTTTCATTTATCATTAACGCACCTGCAAAACATATACTATATCCATAATTGTTTACTCCAGTAAAAACTCCAAATGGCATATGAAAACGATTGGTTTTATAAGTATTATCATATATAACAATGTCATAAAATCTACTGTAATTTATACGCTGTTCAGGAAACATCCAAATAATTCTTTCCAATCTTCTTGTATCATCATTGATATATGTATAATATTGAAATTCATCATTATTATTTTTAATTTGTTCTAATACATTGATAAATTCTTCTGCTTCAAATTCTTTTTTTCCTGAATTAGAACTTTCTAATTGATAAACAAAATTATAGATATCATTGTACATCCATGTAACATGAGTACCAAATTCTTCATTAAGAATTGAACGTATTGTTGGAACATCTACACCAGCACGACGTAACAATTCTATTTTTTGTTTTACATCTTCTGGAATATGTCATTCATTTGACATAAAATGTTGTTGATTTTTATCAACCATGTGATGATTATGAGTAAGATCCATATTGATAATATACCATAAACCATTATTATCATTTAAAGAAGCACAAATATAAAATGGACAACCACAACGTTGTGATGCCCGATTTCTTTCTTTAATATTTTGATCATCTTCATCTGAATAATATTCTTTCTTTTCAGAATAACCAGCTCTTGAACATAGTAATGTTCTTTTTCGAAAATTTTTTTTAAAATTTTGATTTTTTGAATATTCAACTTTTCCAAGTCAAATAGAAAATCCAAGATTATAAGCATAACTTTTTGCTTTGTTAACAAACTCGTCATGATTT